AGTGTGACCCACTCAGGAGACAGTGGTTAACTTTGAGCCATGAAAAGGGAGAGTATGGGTAGTATTCATTGTCCCACCTTCTAAACTGGTGTTCAAAAGGGTATTGAGAATTGCAGAGCATGGTGAGGCTGAGTGGGAATTAATGAGTCTCTCATTCTTCACATTTTAGGGAAACTGGAAGAGAAGAAGCCCCCTGAGGCTGACATGAAGTATGTATCCAAGCCCATCATCTGATCTGAGGGAGGAGGGGGCTGTGTGCTTCTTGTCTTCAGCATTTTGGGGAGGCCTTGTTGTGAGAATCTAGAGAAATGGCCAGGGGAAGTGGAATGAATTGAGTGTAATTTTGACACCTAATCTCTGTTTTCCTAGTATTTTCGAAGACATTGGGGATTATGTACCCTCCACAACCAAGACACCTCGGGACAAGGAGAGGGAAAGATATCGGGAACGGGAGCGTGATCGGGATAGAGAAAGAGACCGAGACAGAGAGCGGGAGCGAGAACGAGATCGGGAGCGGGAACGGGACCGAGAGAAAGAGGAAGAGAAGAAGAGGCACAGCTACTTTGAGAAGCCAAAAGTGGATGATGAGGTGAGATGTGGCCCCTAGTACCAGGTGATGGTGCTGCCTATCTCTGCCTGCCCCGCCGGTACAGGACCTCTCTGTTACAGAGCCACCTCATGGCTTCATAGAAGCAACTGGGTCAACTAATCCAGGATAGGAACCATCCTGGAAATGGGAACAGCGGAGGATAGGGAATTGATTCAAACTTGGGGGTAGAGGATGTGTAGGAATCCTTCATAATGATTCTGACCTCAATTTCTATTTTTCTTTCCAGCCCATGGAGGTTGACAAAGGTAAGTTGTGTCCAAGGTAGCTTGCATTAGCTCCAGCAGTCCTGCTTTCCCCTGGGCTAAGAGTGGGACCTAGAGCTCATCGCTGGCAAGGGTGGGATTGGGGGACTTCCTGGTTCTGGGTTCTCAAAAGATTAATGTCTTGGCTCAAAGACATAATGTCTATTATAGGAGTAGACAGAAGATAAGTGTGGAGTTCCCCCATCTTCCTGGGCAATGACAGGGCATATTTGCTCTATTAGATACAAATTCTTCAGCTGTGGAGTCTTGATATGATGTGAGGCAGGTTGAATGGGCATATTCCAAGCACACTACCCCAACTCAACCATAGTAGTTCATTATTAATTGGGATTTGATTAACATTTTGATAGCAAAAAGGATTCTGTTGCTTAAAAATGTTTTTATGAAAGCTATAGGTTGGAAGTGTGATGTAGGGAAGAGGTTGTAAATTTCTCGTTTCAATGTCTTAATAGAATCTCTTTTCCCAGGACCTGGATCTGCCAAGGAGTTGATCAAATCAATCAATGAAAAGTTTGCTGGTTCTGCTGGCTGGGAAGGCACTGAATCATATCTTTTATTTCAATATGTTTCTGGGTTTCAGAGATTTGTTCTCTTTTCATTCCAATGCTACCTGCTTCCCTGCTTTCTCACAACCCCATTCCTTCCCTTTTATGTTGATTTTTGACCAGGATGAACTCATTGTAACTTTCCCTTTTCTCAGAGAACCCATTCAAGTTCACAGTTATCTCCTTAGAGTTTTCATGTTGAGGCTTTTTAGTCCTTGGCCCTTCCTGGTTGAAGCTTTTCTGCTACAGGCAGAATTATTTTCTTTAACATAGCTTACGCTGAAGAAGCCCGAGGACAAGAAGCAGCTGGGAGATTTCTTCGGCATGTCCAACAGTTATGCTGAGTGCTACCCAGCCACGTACGTGTCACTCTGTTAAAGAAGGGAGGCCAGGATGATTGGAGAACAAGTTGGGGTGGAGGGGTTGGGTGAGGTAGAAATTTGATTTGCTGGGATCCAGGGGTACTTCCTACTTGAAAGAACTATTTTCTTAGGCTCCGAGTGGGAGGTCTAGGGGGTGGTCATTCCTAGGCATATTGTCTCTTACTTGGGTAAGTGTCCAGATAAAGCATTGAAGTCTGGGTCCGCTCCATCTGTTCAACTGTTGTTTCTCTTTAGGATGGATGACATGGCTGTAGACAGTGACGAGGAGGTTGATTACAGCAAAATGGACCAGGTATGGAATTAGAAGCGTGGGTGAGGGCTGTTGGGCAGTTACTCTTTAGTACATATCCCTTTCCCCATTCCCAAAATATGTGTCTCATTAACTGGTCCTCATTTCTCAGCTGTAGTAATAGGAGCAGCAGCAGTGTGGGGTCATGGACAGCTTAACTATTTCAAAGTGTTAGTACAAAAATAAAATGAGGTAGAGCCAAAAATATAGTTCTTTTATTTCCTACAAAGTGCCAGGCTTTGATTTCTATTCTAGACAGTAAGCAGGTCTTAAGTGCATAAGAAGAAAGGGCTAAAGAAAGGGCAGTCTTTTGAAAATAACTGATTTTATTCTAGCCAGTCAGTATTGGAAGTTTCTTCCAACTCTTAAAACCCAGCAAACACTCCATTAATGATAAAGAAATTTCATCTACTTTTTCCTTGTTCTCCCTGTACTACAATGCTTAAGACTGTTGTTTAATTCCATCTTGGAACCTTGCTTAACCCTGACACTGTATTAGTTTATAGTGGCTATATCTATTTTATTGTTTTATTTATTAGTTTTGTGGCTATATCTATTTTACTGCGTATGCCTCAATTTCATCATCGGGAAAACAGAAATATATTTTCTCTTGATAGAGTTTTTGAAAGAATTAAATAAGATAGGTATTTATATTCAGAAAAATGCCTGGCACATGATAAGTAAATAGCAAGCATTTATTATTTATTAGGGTAGAATTTATAAATGATGAAATCAGGGACTGTGGAAGAGCCTGGCTTAATCAGGGACTAAAATTCCATTTTCACTGACATCTCTTCCTTCTCCGTCTGCCATTCTGTCCTGCAACAGGGGAACAAGAAGGGCCCCTTAGGCCGCTGGGACTTCGACACCCAGGAAGAATACAGCGAGTATATGAACAACAAGGAAGCTTTGCCCAAGTGAGTTGGTACTAAATACGGCCAGGATGTGAGAAGAGGGATGGTAATGGGTGGGCTAGCTCACACCTGGTTAGAGGGTGTAGTCTGGCTGAGACATTTTCAAATAGCTTTTCTGCTCACAGGGCCCTCTGGGAACACCTTGCTACTGCTATGCAAACTATTGTCTTCCCTCAATTGCCCTTTTCCCCCCTTAGGGCTGCATTCCAGTATGGCATCAAAATGTCTGAAGGGCGGAAAACCAGGCGCTTCAAAGAAACCAATGACAAAGCAGAGCTGGATCGCCAGTGGAAAAAGATTAGCGCAGTAAGTGGCACTGCCTCTGCCGTGGGAGGGCGTCAGCTGGGAGTAGTCACTGGTCCATCAGTCCAGGAATAGGCCAGGGGTTGGAGAGTCATGGAAGTAGAGAGATCAGCCGTGAACCTCAGTTGGACTAAAACTGGCAGTGTAACTATGGACTATAACTTCTTGCAGATCATTGAGAAGAGGAAGAAGATGGAAGCTGATGGGTGAGCATCCTTATTCATTCTCTTTGGGACTGGGGAATTCTTCCTTTATTTGATCGTACGCTAACTCATTTATTTTGTTACTGCAGGGTTGAAGTGAAAAGACCAAAATACTAATCTCCAGCTCCAACTCCAAGAGTCTTAACAAGGACGGACCTGCTTCCCACGGCTTGTTTTCTACAATTCCCAAGAAAAGTTGCAACGTGTTTGTTTGTTTCTGAATGTATATAAAATACTGTATAATCACTTGGTTCCATTAAAATTGGTAACTTGCAGTCTTTTCTACATTGTGTACCCTCCACTTCAGGGCCCCTGAGGCATCAAGAGGGATATTGATTTTACTTATTGTATAAAATCACATGCAGAACGTCAGCTCAGTCCTTTCCTGACCTGTGGTTCTAGATATCTCGTCAATAAGGATGTTTACTAGCTAGGTGCCCAGAGGAGAATGGACAAGTAATAGATGGTTGGTCTCAAATGTCAGACTCATTCAGGCCCATTTGGGGGGCCCTACTCTTAGGGCAGAGATTTCCTGGGAATTAGGGTGAGCCCAATGGGCTGTCAGTCCAATCCCAAAGTTTGCACAGCTAAGTGCTAGGTGAAGGCATCTGAGGAGAATCACTTGTGGGAACAAAAATCTTTTATGCAATTTTTCCTGGGAGCTTTTATTTCAAGCACACATCACTGCTTCCCTGGCTCTCTCATCTGCTTCCTCTCACCCCGACTTTCCCAGTCCCCTCTGCCCTGGGTCCCATTCGGGCTGAATGACACAATGACTTCAGGGTAAGTGGCACACTGACTCAGTTCTAGGGGCCCAGGTCAGGGTGCTCCCAGTCCTGCTCCAAGTTTGCCTGAGTTTGGTTTGGTCCTGGGGTGATTCTAGGCTTGCTGGGAAGAAACAGCACTAGTTTCCTGAACATCTCCAAGGAGGTGGGCCCCGGTCAAGCTCAGGCCCACAGGAGTGTGACAACAGGGAGCCCAGGAAAGGGCCTGGGAGAGCCCTCTGCACTGGAGTGAGGAGGAAATAGCACTGGGTGACCTCAATTTCAAGTGCATAAAAGAAGCTGCAAAATTGTTATTCTTAGAGTTGATATCTTGCTTTCCTTTGTATTTCCTCAGTTTGGCTCAAATAAACTAAAAAATTCTCTATAAATTTGGATGTTTCTTATCCAGCATGGGTCAGGATAAGGGGAAAGGAGAAATGCGAATAAAGAGGAGATTGATGGTCTTCGGCCATCTAGCTGGTCTAGGTATCAGGGATGTCAGCAGAGGAACGCTAGGAACCTCGGGGGCCGGGCTCCAAGAGTCCGCCCCGCCCCGCCCACCCCAGCTGCGGAGACCCGCCTCTTCCTGGTTACGGAGACGCCCTGGCGCCACTTCCGGTTCCGCCCCTCCAAGCGGAAGCGGTGCACGGGCTGCTCACGCCTGCCTGGAGACTGGGGCTTGGGCACGCTGGTCCACTGGTAACGCGGCCCGGAACCCTCCGGTGCATGGATCCCACGTGCGAGGAGAGGGCCACGGAGGATAGGAGCGACGAGGAGGACTCCGACTCCGCGGAAGCCCCGGCGCGGGCCCGGGACACCCCTGAGGACATCGTTCTGGAAGCGCCGGCTAGTGGGCTGGCGTTCCACCCGTCCCGCGACCTCCTGGCGGCGGGGGACGTGGACGGGGACGTGTTCGTGTGAGTGGCGCCGGGCGGGCCTTGGTGAGCGCGGGGCGGGGCGGGGCGGGCAGGAAGCCTCCCTGGGATGGAGTTGGGTGTTGGGAGAGAAAACTGGCAAGGCTCATCTGGTCTGATTCGTTCATTAACATCCGGCTTTAAACAAGTGAGCACACAAGTCTCTTAAAAAGATCTGAGAGAAAGATGAAATGGCTGTAATGTGACCGAGTCCAGGGACAGTAAGCAGCAGGATAAGAAGGCTTTCAGGACCCCATTTCCCACCAGATGATTTTACTGAGCCCGAAACAAGCTCAACAGGTCCCTCCCCTTCTATTGCGCTTTGCTATAATTGATCTTTTGAAAACACAAATCCGACCCCCTCACCCTTGATTAAAACCCTTCAATAATTTACCTTTGCTTTTAGGATTAAGTCTAAACGGATTGATCCTCTGGCCCTTGCTCGCTTTCCCCTTTGCTTTCTGTGCTCATTCATCCCTTCCTTTCTAATGTATCTGAAAGCCTCAGTTCCTTTCCCCTCGCTTGTCCTTCCTATCTCCTCCTCAGCATGTCTTCACTCTTTCCCCAGCCCCTGACTAAATTAGATTACTTATTAGGTGCTGTCTTGGCACCAGATGTCTTTTCCTCATAAACTTCATAATGGTTTGTAGTCAAACTTAAGTTTGTATACTTATTTGAATGCTTGCCTCATTTACTTAAAAAAAAAATGTGTTTATTAAGTAGCCTTTCATGCTAGGCACTGGGATAGAGCAATTAAGTAGACCTAGTTCTGCCCATTCGGAACTCACTGACAATGAGGCACTTAATTCACTGGGCTGTTTTGAGGGTCTGCTTGGAGGATACTCTGCACAGGTGCTTGCCTTGCTGAGTTTAAGGCTGTTGCTTCTCTGTTCCACCTGCATTTTGATCCTAGCTCTTTGTAGTCACAATGTGCTAGAATTAATTTTGGATCTCTAGCTACAGAACTGGAGTACAAGATCCCTGTTTTATTAATTTTTACATTTCCAACTTCTGGGGCTGCCCTTCTGTCATTAATTTAACAAATATTTCTGGGCCTTCACGGAGCAGCGGCTGCCAGGCTGGGAGCGGCCAGGCCCGGGGGAGCAGGCGGGTCGGGTGCGGCCAGGCCTGGAGCAGCGGCTGCCAGGCTGGTAGCGGCCAGGCCCGGAACAGCAGCAGCCAAGTCCAGAGCAACTAGGTTGGGAGCGGCAGTGACCAGACCCGGAGCAGCTGGTTGTGGAATGAACCAGAGCAACAGAGGCCAGGCCCTGAGCAGCCAGGCCCAGAACAGCTCGCTCCTTGCCTGTCCCTGCCCCACGGCTGCTTCTCAGACATGGCTGGAAACTTTCGTGGGAACTTGAGGGTCTGCTGAATCAAGTGATGAAGGCTTAGATCTGGATGTGTTGAGTTAGTTTAGGACTGGGGTGTTGATCTGTGAGTGCCTTGGGTGGGGCCTGGATGAGGCTGGTAGACCTATTGGGAAATGTCTTTTGTGTGAAGTGTATCATTGGGCATGTGGAGGTATTATTGATATGAGAAAATGCTAAGTAACTGATTTACTATCTGAAAAGGGATTTACTATTGGGGAAATTGAGGGAAGAAGAGACTGAACATAAACTGCACCTATGGATGAGGACAATGGGGGATGGGGAGGGGGCAGAGGGTGGGGTGGGAACCTGGTGGAGGGGGGAAGAAATGAGGAACCTTTGTAATAATATGAACAATAAAGATTGATTTAAAAAAAAATAATAAATAAAACCCTAAAAAAAAAAAAAAAATATTTCTGGGCCTTCAAAGTGGTCCATACCTAATCTGTCCCCAGGCTGGGGCTTGCAAGGATGATTTAAGAGTGATGGGGTGATGTCACAAAGAATTTGCAAGTAAATGTCTCTCAAATGAGAAAAGGCTTCCAAATATTTGAAGCTCATTGACAATGGGACGGGAAGCTCCTTGGGCTGAGAGGTATACTAGCAGGAACTCCTAGGTAGGTGGAAGGTTGACTAGTTGGTACACTCCGTGCATCCCAGGCAGGGTCTTGGGTCACTCACTCTCTCTCTCTCTCTCCAGCTTTTCCTACTCCTGTCAAGAGGGAGAAACCAAGGAGCTCTGGTCCTCTGGTCACCACCTCAAGTCCTGCCGTGCCGTGGCCTTCTCTGAAGACGGGCAGAGTGAGTATCAGGGAAGGCAGGCAGCGGTGTGATGGTGGGAGGGGCGCAGTGAGCAACACCATGACCTGGGCACCTTCCCCTTCCCCCCCAGAACTTGTTACGGTCTCCAAGGACAAAGCCATCCACGTTCTCGATGTGGAACAGGGCCGACTGGAAAGACGCATTTCCAAGGCTCATGGGTAAGGGGAGCCGAATGTGTGGAGGCGAGGGTAAGGGCGTGTAGCTCCCTCCTGGGACAAAGATGCCCTAAGAACAACTGCATCTGTGTCTAGGGCCCCTATCAACAGTCTGCTGCTAGTGGATATGAATGTTCTGGCCACCGGGGATGACACCGGTGGCATTCGGCTCTGGGACCAGCGGAAGGAAGGCCCCTTAATGGACATGCGGCAACACGAGGAGTACATTGCTGACATGGCTCTGGACCCAGCCAAGAAGCTGCTGCTGACAGCCAGGTACGTCCTCAACCCTGCCTTCCCTGTGCTAAACGCCTCCCTCAGTGGGAGCCACTGGCCAAGCCGGCTGCTCTGCTTCCTCTGTAGTGGAGATGGCTGCCTTGGTGTCTTCAATATTAAGCGACGCCGGTTTGAGCTGCTTTCAGAACCTCAGTCTGGAGACCTGACCTCGGTCACAATCATGAAAGTACAATGGGGTATGGCGGGATGGGGGGCGCCAGGGACTTGGTCTGACATAGCTCTACAAACATGGCTTATCCTGTCTCCCTGCAGTGTGGGAGGAAGGTGGCCTGTGGCTCCAGTGAAGGCACCATCTATCTCTTCAATTGGAATGGCTTTGGGGCCACAAGCGACCGATTTGCCCTGAGAGCCGAGTCCATTGATTGCATGGTTCCGGTCACGGACAGTCTGCTATGCACGGGGTCCACGGATGGAGTCATCAGGTGAGAGAAGCTGGGCCCTTAGATGACACCAGAAGGGTAGGCCCAACCAGCCCAAACCCAACACTCTCTTCTCTCCGCCCAGGGCTGTGAACATCCTGCCGAACCGAGTGGTGGGCACGGTGGGCCAGCATGCCGGGGAGCCCGTGGAGGAGCTGGCCCTCTCCCACTGCGGCCGCTTCCTGGCCAGCAGTGGCCATGACCAGTGCCTCAAATTCTGGGACATGGCCCAGCTGCGGGCTGTGGTGGTGGATGATTACCGTCGGCGCAAAAAAAAGGGAGGGCCCCTTCGGGCACTGAGTAGCAAGGCTTGGAGCACCGATGACTTCTTTGCAGGACTGAGGGAAGAGGAAGCGGAGAAGGAGGAAGAGGACAGTGACTGAGGGGATGAGGTGGATCTCAAAACAGGTCCTCACTGGGCAAGTCTTGCTTCCTGGGCTGGATCCCCAGAGGTTATGAGTTTATCACATCCTCTTGTACGGCATAAGGAGATGGGCAAAGAGAGGCTCAGGACTGTGGGTAGAGCTGCTCGCTCTACCAGTGTGAGACAAGCCCACAGCTGGAGCAAGATGGCACAGACACAGGTGTATACCAACCAGGGCTTTAATATAAATATAACCAGCATAGAAAAACAAACCAACAGTACACATACACCAGAACCAAAACGCCAAGTGGTGGGGACAAAAGGCAGGTTTCTGACCCTTTGGCTCAGCCATCCCCCAAATAAAATCAAAGACAAATCAAGAAAAAGAGTCCTGCTAAGCTGTGGGAGGAGACAGTGTGTGTGTATGTGTCACACAGAGAAAGGCCTCTGGGCTGGGGGGGAGAGGGCAAGGTCCCTCACTACAACTTAGCCAGATCTGAGCTGTCTCCTGTGAGCGCACTGGGGCTGTGCCCCAGCTGGAAGGCTGTGTCAGGACTAGGGCAGGGCCCATGCTCCTCCCGTTTTGGGGGATCAGATGGTGGCTGCCCAGACCTGCTGGGTTGGGGACTGACACAGGCTCTGCCTACTTGTTCAGGCAGCCTGTAGAGGATGGGGTTACTGCTTAATCATGGTACCCGCCTCAGCTCCAGCAGGCCACAGGATGCTGGCCCCGGGCTCGCTCACTGCCCCCGCCGAGGAGAAGAGGCTGGCCCCAGACTCGCTCAGCGTCTCCAGCAGCCGTGCAGACACGGCATCCTTGGCCACCTCGTGCCCATCCTGCCCTCCCACGTTGAGCACAACCCAGATGAGGCCACTGAAGGGCACTGGATGCCCAGGGATCACCACCTGGTACCAGAAGTGGTGCCAGCCAGCAGGGCCCGTGCCCAGGCACTTGGTGAGGAACACTGGGCTACCCAGCTTCATCCGTTGGCACAGCAGCTGCAAGGCAGTTCGAGCCCCTTGGGACGCTAGCTTTTCCCTAGCGAGGGCCAGCCCGCTGCCTTCGGGCTGTAGGCACTTCAGGGAGGGCCCCACAAGCTGCTGGCGAAGTCGCTGCTTCACGTCTGGCTTGAGCCACTCCACAGTCACCTGCTCTCCACAGAGGCGGGACTGCCCTGTAGGAGAAAGGCAGAGACAAGGACAGGTCTTAGCTCTGCACCCAAGCCCCAGCCCCTGTGAGTCCTTAGGAATCAAGTCACACAATTACCAGGTAGTGTGACCTCTGGCAAAAATAAATAAGGCTTCATTGTGTTTGTAAAAAGGGTGCAGTAACAGTTGCGTTCTAAATTTTCTTGGAGAGTACTGATCTGATGCTGTCTTTACTGCATCACCATAAAACTAACCTTTTTGCTGTGAATACTTGCCAAGAATCAAGGAATGTGCTAAGTATTCAGCTCAATTCTCACAACAGACAACAGTCTCAGCAGGACTGCCTCGGGCAAGTCCCCTTCTTTGAAGACAATCTTTTCTAAAGAGGGAGATGGCCATAGTTTTCATTGGAATGTTGAGGGTGGTAACTGAGTTTAGGTAAGTGGTATAGTACCATTGGAAATGTTAAGAGCCGAGTTCAAATAAATAGTATAAAGTTGCAAATGCGGGCATTCTTGACTTTAAGATCTTTCTACTTTGCCGGCCCTACGGACCAGTGGAGAGGTCAAGTTCCTGGCAGAATACCCTTACTCCAGCCAGCGGCTCCCAGCAGCCTCCTACCCCCCTACCTTCCATCAGGGCCTTCTTGGCCATGGCCGCCGCGCGGTGCGAGCTGAACTTGAGCAGCGCCATCTGCGTGAGCGCCAGGCCGGGGCTGGGCAGCAGCAGCGCCTCCTGGAGGCCCGGGCCCAGCGGCTGCAGCGCCAGCAGCAGCGCGCGGCGGGTCAGGGCGGGCGGCAGCCCGTCCACGCTCAGCTCGCACTTCTCGGTGCTGAGGCACACGAGCAGCGGGCACGCGGGCCGCAGCGGGTGGTTGTGCAGCGCGGCGATGGCGGCCTGGGCGCCGCGCCGCGAGCTGTAGCGGGCGTAGGCGAAGCCGCGGTTCAGGCCGCTGAAGGTCATCATCAGGCGGAACTCGTAGAGGCGGCCGGCGCGCTGGAACAGCGGGATCAGCTGGTGCTCGTACACGTCCTGGGGCAGCCGGCCGATGAACACCTCCGAGCCCGGCGGCGGCGGGCTGCCCACCCAGCCTGGGGGAGGGGGTGGGGTGGGGGAGGCACCGTCACCCACCGGGATGTCCCGGGTTTGGGCCCAGGAATCCGGGGCGGGGGGGTATCATGTGAGCGCGCATCTGGGAAATGGGTACAACCACAGTGCCCCGAGCCGTTGGCTTAATTGGGTGATTAAATTAAAATCACCTTAAAGCACACCTTCCACTGGCTCCTTGGACCTTGGAGGGGGCGGGGGGGGGCGCACCTGCTGGGGGAGGGGTGAACGGGGAGTTGGGGGTTCTGATCACGGAGACTCGGAGCGGGCGCCTCCCCCAAGGCCAAGGGGCTCGTCCAGGCCGGCGCGGCGCCCCAGCAGGCGTACCTGGGGGCGGCCCGCCGTACTTCCTCTGCCCGTTCACTTGCACCAGGCGGACACCCGTCTCCCTGACCCAGGCCTCCAGCGCCGCCTTGTTCTCCGGGTTCACCCTCTCACACCACAGCTGGCGGGGAAAGGCCAGGTCGGAATGGCGGATGGCCGCGCCCGCCCCCACCTCGCCCGGTGCGCCAGGGGCCCCGCTCCCCGTGCAGGGGGTGCTCGCCCTCGCCCCTCGCTGGCAAACACCCACCTCGTACTCCCGCTTGGACTGCATGGCTCCGGCGCCGGCGTGGCGGAGCTCCCCTTTATAACCTCCTCCCTACCTGCCTCTGGAAGCTTCCCTGCCCCTCCACCTCCCCTGCCCGCATTGGCTCCGAGCGCGACCCCGCCCCCCAAGGGGGTGGGAGGATCCGCCGCACGTGGGCCGAGACCCTCAGGTGAAAGCTGGGAACCCTGGTGGGCGAGTTCTCAGGCAGACTCGGCCCCTAAGGGATGGCCGCACACCCACGGAAGGAAGAAGGACGCAGGGGGCACCCTTCACCCCGGGGCAGGAGCCTGCTGTAAGTCTTTCTCCCCATTTCCCACCGCCAAAGCGGTCAGACTCTGACAGGGAAGGAAGGCCTTGGCTACAGCGACACAGACAGGGCACCAGTGGTTGAGATATTTTATTGCACCTTTGGCAACGGGTTGTGGGGAGCAGTGCCTCCTCCTGTGTGGGGCCCTGCAGAGAAGGCCAGGTCGGCCCGGTCCTTGTAGCCTAGGAGCCAGACGGGACTGAGCCCCCAGGGCTTCCTATGGAAATGGCACAGTAAAATAACCTGTGATTATCAATAAAATAATAATAAAAATAAAAAGTCTCTGTTTTGACCACTCTTCAGGTTTCCCACTGGAAGCGTGCGAAGAGGTGGAAGGATATATGCAGTTTTATCTTTGCCTTAAATAGTGCCCGTCCGCTTTCCTCTGAGAGTTTGCTCTGTTCAGCAGATGCAAGGGGGCTGGCTTGTTCTCTTCTTGATTTCCTTCACAAGGTCTTCTCTTCGGACATCCACCTGGCGGGGATGGGGGAGAAAGTGATATGAGCAGCTTCCACTCCACTGCTCCCTGAGTGCCCACTCCTTCCTCTGGTCATCAGGTTTGGCTCAGCTGAGAGCAGGAACCCAGAACATTCAGGTGGACAGTGCTTCTTGGGGGAGCCAGAGACACAGGGGGCTTGTCGGGTGGATGTCTTACCCTACCAGGATCCTAATAGGTTAAAAGCCCTTACAAGAGTGTACTTGACTGGGCATCGGCCTGCTGAAATGGCATCCATTCCCTGTCGCTCAGCCTTCCTGCCCGCCTACTCACCTCCTCTCTGCTGGCCACCGCACGGAGCTTGACGACCCCGTCCTTGAGCTCCTGCTCCCCGATGATGGCCACCAGCGGGATGCCCGCCTCCTCACAGTACTGCAGCTGGTTCAGTAACTTGGGGTTTTTCTTGTAAAGCAGCTCAGCCTGCGGGGACCCGGGCAGAAGGTGAAGGCTGGCTTCTGCATCCCTCAGGGTCAACCTCCTGGGGCCCAACCTGCCACCTCGCTCTGAGTTCCGCCCCAAGAAATCGCAGACTAGCGGGGTGAGCTTGCATTTAGTCTGTGCCCAGCACTCCCGTTTGCTGCCACGCGGGGGCTTGCCTCCTGTACCTTGATCCCAGCATCCCACAGCTCTGAGACCAGCTTCAGCCTCTCCTCCAGCAGCTTCTTCTGTGCGGATGCCACAAGCACCTGTGTCTCTGTAGTCCGGACCTTCTCCTCCAGTGCCTGGGAAAGGTGCAGATAAAAGTCAGAGAGCTGGGCTAGCCCTTTTAACACCTTCAAAGAGCCAAGAGAGCAGGCCCTTGTCAGGATCCTGAGACCAAGCCCAATTCTGCCAGCTCCATCAGGGCAGGGGCCCAGTCTTCTCATGCAGCACCTGGACATAAGGTAGCTCTGAGATGCCAGAAGAAGCAAATTGACTGGGCCCGGCCAGTGTGGTTCAGTGGTTGAGCAATGATACATGAACCAGGAGGGGTCACAGTTCAATTCCCAGTCAGGGCACATGCCCAGTTTCAAGCAGGAGGCAGCCAATCAATGATTCTCTATTTCTCTCTCTCCCTCCCTCTTCCTTTTTCTCTGACATAAATAAAAACATATTTTAAAAAATAAATAAACTGACTAGCTTGTACATCTGACATGCCAGGATCAATTACCTAGGACAGTGGTTGGCAAACTCATTAATCAACTGCAGTTTGCCGACCACTGACCTAGGGCAAGGGCAAAGGTAGCTTATTTATAGAAACTTCTTGCTTATTTCCATCTACCTTAAGGGCCCACAAGAACAGTAACACAGAAGCGATACTGTGAGCCCATCAGGAAATCCAATCAGCCAGGCAGCCCTAGCAGTTCCAGTTCCCACTTACTATCGCCAGCTGAGGGTACAGCTCAGGTAGGAGGGTGCTGCTGCTGCCCCTTGTCTTTTTTTTTTATAATATATTTTATTGATTTATTACAGAGTGGAATAGAGGGATAAGAGTTAGAAACATCAATGAAAGAAAAATCGATCAGCTGCCTCCTGCACACCCCACACTAGGGATGTGCCCGCAACCAAGGTACATGCCCTTGACTGAAATCGAACCTGGGACCCTTCAGTCCACAGGCTGACACTCTATCCACTGAGCCAAACCAGTTTCAGCTGGAAAACTATTTCCATAGTTCTTACAACATGAGATGCCTATCGGAAAGTGACCTTAATTGGGAAACGGGTGGTTTCCACCCAGAGAAAAGGATGGAACAGCTATCAGCAGAACTTTCTCCAGGGGCTGAAATGCAACCGGTCAGTTAAGAGCAGCAGCAACAAAGGTGCACTTGAGGCCATGAGGGGTTTCCCTGGTGTTACTCTCTCTTTTTATTTTTTAATATTTTATTTATTTTTTACAGAGGAAGGGAGAGGGATGGAGAGTTAGAAACATCGATCAGCTGCCTCCTGCACACCTCCTACTGGGCAACCAAGGTACATGCCCTTGACTGGAATCAAACCTGGGACCTTTCCCTATCCACTGAACCAAACGGGATAGGGGCCTCTCTCTCTCTTTTTTTTTTTTAAAGTGGGAGAGATGGTTCCAGGGTTTCTTTCCCCCCCCCCCCCCCAATATTTTTATTGATTTCAGAGAGAAAGGAAGAGGAAGGGAGATAGGAACATCGATTATGAGAGAGAATCATCTATTGGCTGCCTCCTGCACACCCTCAACTGGGGATTGAACCCACAATGCAGGCATGTGCCCTTGACTGGAATCGAACCCGGGACTTTTCAGTCTACAGGCCGACGCTCTATCCACTGTCCACTGAGCCAAACCGGTTTAGGCCTGGTGCTCCTCTTGATACTGGAGTCAGGACAGCCATCTTAGGGGTCTCAGGGCCTCAGACTATCACAGCATGGTTAGGGACAGGACTTTGCAGTTAGACTGCCTGGATTCAAATGGACTCTGTCACTTAAGAACCATCACTTTGGGGTATTAAACCTGAAATCTTTAGTTCTCTCAAGATAGTAAAAGTAGCTACTTTCAAAAGGCTGTTGTAAAAATTTTACCGGCCTAGATTCCTGACAGCTCTGAGGGAAGAAGGGACCCAGAACAAGATATTTTGTGAAAAAAGAATGATCAGAAATCCATAAAGCTGTCCTATAATGGGGTGGGAGCCTATGTGGTGGTGTCCATCTTTTTTCCATTTCTCCGTAAGGATGCTCCTTGCCCAAAGTGACCCCCCAGGGGATCAAAGAAGGCAGCTCAGCTGCCACCGCCTGCCCGGACTGTCTGGTACTCACCTCTAGCCTCTGCTCCACGATGGAGAAGATCCGCTCCACACCAATGCTGAGTCCCACACACGGCACCTTGCGCCCTTTGGGGTCAAACATGCCCACCAGCCCATCGTAGCGCCCTCCAGCAGCCACGCTGCCCACACCCAGGGGCTCTTCCCCTGCCTGGGCTGCGGTCTGGAGCAGCACCGCCTCATAGATCACTCCGGTATAGTAGTCCAGCCCCCGAGCGAGGCTCAGGTCGAAGGAGATCTGTGGGGACAAGAGCATGTCAGTACCAGGTGAGGATCAAGGACTTGAAGCCCCAGAGCACAGCGGGGCTCCCACCCCCAGCCCGACTCGCCTTGTCAGCAATGCCGAACAGGGCCAAGTACTCAAACAGCAGCTTCAGGTCTCCCAGGCCCTCCAAGGCCTGCTTGTTTTGAGACAGTTTAGGATCCTGGAGCAGCTGTTCCACCAGGGACACCCCACCTGGGAGACAGATTTGCAAGCAAGAATGACTGATTGGAAGAAAAAAGTAGGGGGTCTCTCTTTTTGCCTGGATTGTACATGTATGTGTGTTCCCCCCACTCCCCGCCCACTTCCCACTTCTCTGTCTCTCCCCCATTCTCTCTCTTACGCGCGCGCACACACACACACAAACACACACAAACACACACACACACACATACACACACACACACACACACACACGAGTTCCAGCTTTAGGATTGAGGGCAGTGGGATGGCTGATGGCGAGCAGGTTCACTCCTCACCGTGCTGCTGGACGTAGTCCCCAATGCGGTCAGCCACCTCCGGTGCGAGGCCCTTCTCTCCCACCATCTCATTCTTTACCTCCTCCCAGGACACCTGGGCAGACAGAGCGGTCAGGGACCCTTGGGCACCTTCCCCACCACAGAACAAGTATGGGCCCTCCTCAGGGGGCAGTCGTGGAGCAGAAACTGCCCTTCAACCTACATCCTAAGGCTAATTTCCCCTGGTGGGCACAGAAGCAGTCCCGCCCCCCTTACTGTTGTTTTCCATTTCTCCAGGCAGGGTGGGGTCTGGGAATAAAGGAGCCAGCTGTTCGGGTCATTACCTTGTCCAGCTTGTCCACTGACGAGCAGATGGTACGGAACTTGCTATCAGGAACCCCACAGACGGCAAACATCCCGTCTAGGATGCGCCGATCGTTCACCTGGAGGGACCCAAAGCGTCTCTTTACGTGGCCCTTCATAGCTCTGGCCACTTAGGCTACTGGTCCCTCTGCACCAAGACCTTCTCCTGGGAGAGGCCAGGCCCAACTTTCCCTCCCAGCCTTGTACAGCTCTGACCTTGACCAGGAAGTCCCCGATCTGAAGTGAATTCAGGATCTCACACATGATCTTTAGGCACTCTGCATCAGGGATCATGGGGTCAAATTGCCCAGCAATGTCAAAATCCTGCAGGGAGAGAGGGAGAGGTCCGTAGGGGTTTCTTCAGAGGGGATTTTTTGGGGAAGCTCTGCTCTTGCTCTCTCTGAAAGGCCAGTTTGCACTTACGCATAGACCGCTTTTTCATTCTCTTATCATTAGTCCAGAGGAAAACCCCAGCATTCTTGGGTCTTTCACTAGTTCTGGTTTCTTTTCCATCGATGGGACTATTCCTTTATCATCTCATTCATCTGCTTTTGCTATTTCCTCCTACCACTGGAGGGCAACTATACAGCCCTAATCCTTGTCATTTTCTCTGTTTATTCAGAAGCTCTGCCCACCGGTCTGGATTATTTCATCCCTCAAATCCAATTTGCTCATCCTTTACTCTGATCCTATCTCTGTGTTTTAATAGGAAGAGCACTGGACCAAAAGTTCTAGTGCTGACTTGGCCTTTCTTATCCCTATGATCTCTTCATTCTGCTGAGAATCAAATTTACTCATCTATAAAATGGAGAGAACAGAGGTTATTCTGTTCCCCTTTATGAAATCTATAGGAAAATACCAAAGAAACCTAAGGGTTAGCATTATCTGGGGCACCCAGTTTGCTCAGGACACCGTGAGTGCTCAGTAGATTGCACTGGCTGGAGGGAGGGCCAAGTTACCCCCACACTCACACACTGGTAGAATTCCCGGTATCGGCCGCGGGTCATGGCTGGGTTGTCCCGCCGATACACTTTTGCTATGTGGTAGCGTTTAATGTTGGTCAGTTTGTTCATTGCCAAATACCGAGCAAAAGGAACCTGGTGACAAGAGTTAAGGAGAGAGCCCCTCCTAGCACAGTCTGGAAGTTGATTATCATCACCAACGGAAACAAGGGCCCAGCCCCTCCCTGTGCAGGTGAAGCCAACGCCCGTAAGATTAATAGCTGCTCTGAACAAAAACAAAACGAAACAAAAAACAACTTTATGAACATAAGGGGCAGCTGACGTCTCAAAAAAGATTAAGACTCCTTTCACTTTGGTAGTGTTTCCACCATGGGCTCAGGGGCTGGCACCTGGGTCAGGGAGCAGAAAAAGGGCCCCCGTGTGGGATCTCTGGGCAGATGATTTTCTGGCCTACCTTGGAGACAGAGGAAATGCTGTTGGTCAGTTAAGAACTCTGTCCACTGGGCAGGGAAGGGGAGAGGTATTCTGGAACCAGAGCATTGCTGGTACAGTTAAAACTGGGCCCTCACTGGGTCTCACTCAGATTTCAGAAAACTTCTAAGGATACGTTCTGTTTAGCCAAAGTCCTGCCCCTGGTTTAGAGAAATAATTACCCAAATAATTACCCATATTTGATCCCACTCATGCTCACTTTCCCTGAACCTGAGCTAGAAACAGGCCCCACCCAAGGAAGGCCAATCAATCCGCAGTGCCAAGAGCCCACAGTTAGAAAGATACAGTGAGGTCGTAGCGAAGGGACAGCAGCTCTCCACCCTGGTCTTTCAGGTCATAGATAAGCTTAGAGTCTTCCCCGTACTTTCCAGTCAGTGTTTCCTGAAGAAAACAAAGAAATGTGGTCACAATGACAAATACAATTTAAAAGGAAGTTTTGAAAACAAAAATCCACCTGTCTATATTTCCTCTGCTCTCTATCCCAATGACGTAGTATTTAATTTAGTTATAATCAAAAGGAGCCCTAGCTAGTTTGGCTCAGCAGATATATTTGTTGTTCTACTTATTTATGCATTCATTGGTTGATTCTCTTATGTGCCTGCAACCTTGGTGCATCAGAATAATGTTCTAATCAACTGAGCTACCTATCCAGGGCTTGCCATCTCTAATTTAATCTGAAATTAAAATCAAGCAAAGAGCTAGGGGAAGATGGAGTTAGGTAAGAAAGGGAAGAATGAGAACAAAGGCCCTGAGCCAGAACACAGTACGTTTCAGGAATAGAAAGAAGACCAAAGAAGCATAGTAGGCAAGGAGAAGAACAGCATGAGATGAGGCGGGAAAGGTGGGCAGTGGCCAGATCAAGTAGAGCCTAGTAAGCCTTAGTAAAGGGTTTCAATTTTATGCAATGGGAGTCACTGGAGGTTTAAGCAGAGAGTGTGTGTTTTTTTATTTATTAAAGAGGTAAACACAATATCAGAGTCAATCAATAAGAGACTGGTTGCACATTTATACTTTATACCTATAGTTTGTATGTATCTAGAAAACATCTCAATATAGGTGCCATGGAATCCAATATATGGAAGTCAAAACAACTTCCACTCTTAAGAAGGGTTCTCCCCTCCCCCTCCTTTTAAAAAAATATATTTTATTGATTTCAGAGAGGAAGAGAGAGGAAGAGATAGAAACATCAATGATGAGACAGGATCATTGATTGGTTGCCTCCTGCATGGCCCTCACTGAGGATTGAGCCTGAAACTCAGGCATGTGCCCTTGACTGGAATCGAACCTGGGACCCTTCAGAACACAAGCCAATGCTCTATCCACTGAGCCAAACCAGCTAGGGCTAGAAGGGTTCTCTTTTGAAATCCGCTGGCCAAAACCAGGTAAATAAAAAGCAGGACTTCTTCCTTTAAGCCAGCCCCACCCCCTTTTCCACTGGAGAAAATACTGGTTGGTCTTTGTCTATAACAGGAGAGAGACCTTTGGGTGTCACTCTCTTGTAATCCTTTTGCTGTTCACACACCCGTTCTCCCACCATGCAACTTCTTACCCTCCTCTCACCTTTAGTTCAAACACAGGTGTATCAATTACTTCTGCACCATGGCGTTTGAAGCAGCTGATGATTGTATCAAACACCTTCTCCCGAACTGCCATCTGCCGGGGATTGTAGTCTCTTGTGCCCTTGGAGTCAAAATCAGCCGAAGAACCAGGAGGGGATTTTAAAAAACAAACAAACAAACAAAAACAATAAGGTCTATGAATATAAAAGCATGACCGCAGTGAAGACAAATGCAAATTTCGACTTCCCTACAGGCCACCAAGTTGTAAAACAAGTACAATTCCCTATTAATCACCACACACATTTGCTATCACCCTTCTATTAATAAGTTCCCATTTAATTTTTAAAAATATATATATTTTATTGATTTTTTTACAGCGAGGAGGGGAGAGGGATAGAGAGCTAGGAACATCGATGAGAGAGAAACATTGACCAGCTGCCTCTTGCACACCCCCTACATGCCCTTGACCAGAATCAAACCTGGGACCTTTCAGTCCACAGGCCAATGCTCTATCCACTGAGCCAAACCAGTTTCGGCTCCATTTCCTTTTAAGCTAGGTTATATTTCCTAGAATTCTTAGGATTCTATTCTGAGTTTTCCTAAAAACTCTATTTCTGGGATAACATTTCCTGCCTATTAGGAAACACCTGCCTGCTGACAGGCACACGGCCAACTCAAACTGGCTTAACTAGCTGAGCCCCAAATTTTACAAGTAACATCCTTTCCCAACATAACTTCAAAAATTCCTAACGAGACGAAATCGGTTTGGCCTGCAGACTGAGAGGTCCTGGATTCGATTCTGGTCAAGGGCATGTACATTGGTTGCAGGCACATCCCCAGTAGGGGGTATGCAGGAAGCAGCTGGTCGATGTTCCTCTCTCATCGATGTTTCTAGCTCTCTATCCCTCTTCCTTCCTCTCTGTAAAAAATCAATAAAATATATATATTTTTAAATCCTAATGAATATTATTTGTTCTCTAATTTTTCATTCTTTATTAAAAATGTTTTCATTGATCTCAGAGAGAAGAGAGAAGGAGAGAGAGGTAAAAACATCAATGATGAGAGTCATTGATCAGCTGCCTCCTTCACATTCCCCTTCCTCATCTACACTCTACAAAAACCAGAGGAAAAAATGTCCTCGGGTGAGGATTGAATAAAAAAGGCAAATTTTATGTTAAGTTTATTTTACTACAATTTAAAAATTATCTATTACTCTATCTTTACTTTGAATGGATCTTTTATCCATGCATGATTTTATGACATCACACATTGGTTATTAGAAAATATTGGTTCATTGATAACGGTTATACAGATCTTCCAAATTTTGGTACACTCACTTCATTATATAATGTCAGAAAACCAGACTTGTTAACATTACCATAGATCTTAGCAGGAAGGTCTTTAAGTATTGGGAAACTGTCAAGCTCAAGGTAGAAGATAGAACTTTTCTAAAATTCTAACTTTTACGTGATCACTTAAATTTTATCACTGGCAACAAATATTATGAAATGTTTTCCTTAAAGTGACAAGGCTCACTTGGTTCATTTTTCTGAAAATGTCTCCTAAATACCCTCAATCTTTAAAGTAATAGTTTCTGATTCAGTTTTTCTTTCAAATACAAAAGGTGTCCTGTGAAAAAAGTAGCTAGTTCTGCTTACAACTCACCTAATGGCACAAGTGTTATTTGTTTTGGAATTCAGTAGAAGTGTTTTATGTGGACTTCCCATTAATCACACGGAATGTTTTAAAAATATACTCAAGCCCTGTGTCTCAGTGATTAGAATACCGGCCCACACACGGAAAAGTCACTTCCCAGTCAAGGGCACATACTGGGTTGCAGGTTGGATCCCCAGCCCCAGATGGAATGTGTGCAGGCGCCGACTAATCGATGTGTCTCTGTCACATTGATGTGTGTTTTTTTTCTTTCTCTGTCTCCCACCCTTCCTGTATTCCACTCTCTAAAATCAATGGGAAAAAAATTCTCAGGTGAGGATTACCAAAACAAAAAGGGTTGAGATTCCAAAGAATATTTTTTTACTGTTTTGTCAAGGATGTTAAGTGATGCCAAAGCCGGTGTGGCTCAGTGGTAGAGCGTCGGTCTGCGGACTGAAAGGTCCCAGAATCAATTCTGGTCAAGGACATGTATGTTGGTTGCGGGCACATCCCCGGTGGGGGGGTGTGCAAGAAGCAGCTGGTCGATGTTTCTCTCTCATCGACGTTTCTAGCTCTCTATCTCTCTCCCTTTTTCTCTGTTAAAAATCAATAAAATATATTAAAAAAAAAAAAAAAAGGATGTTAAGTGAAACTGATTTTTTTTTTACTGTGAATGTATTAGAGTGAAAAACATAATCAAGTAAAAAATGGCAAATAACATTATGAAAATAATTTTGACAAGAGCCCTTGAAAAAGTACTGTTCCCATGATACTGAGTTTTCTGTTATTAATATGAATCACATGTCAAAAAATGTTTCAACAAATTAAACTGGATATTAAATCTCCAATATAATCTCATTTTCTTTAACATTATTATGGAAAACTTCAACCTAAATTATAGAGAATAGACCACCATGTATCTATTACCCAGTGTCAACTACCATCACCTGTTATTTTATATGAGCCCCCAAAATTTCCCCCCCTCTGGGGTATTTTAAAGTAAATCCTCAGACATCAATCTTATCATTTCATCCACAAATATTTCAGTATGATTCTCTAACAAATAAAGAATAAAAAAAAAACAAAAACCCTTCTCTGACCAGTGTGGCTCAATTGGTTGAGCTCTATCTCTTGTACCAAAAGGTCACTCACTGGTTGATTCTCCGTCAGGCCTGGGTTTCTGGGTGGATCCCCAAAAGGCAGATGATGAATGTTTCTCTTTCTCTCTCTCTTTTCCTCTGACTAAAAAAATCAATTAAAAAAAAATCCCAAACATTACAACACCTTTAATACCCCCAAAAAACCTAACACCAAACCTTTAATATTATTTTTCTTTTTAATATATTTTATTGATTTTTTTACAGAGAGGAATGGAGTTAGAAACATCGATCAGCTGCCTCCTGCACACTCCCTCCTGGGTATGTGCCCACAACCATGGTACATGCCCTAGACCAGAATCGAACCTGGGACCCTTGAGTTTGCAGACCAACATTCTATCTACTGAGCCAAACCGGTTAGGGCCCTTTAATATTATCGTAATGCCCAATCCATGTTTAACTTTCCCTGATTGCCTCAATATCTTTTTATGGTTGGCTTGTTTGAATCAGATTCTAAAGGAAATCTATGCATTGTATTTGGTTGAAGTAGCTGATGTCTATTTAATCTACAACAGTTTTCTTTTCTTTTTTTTAAAAAAAATATTTTTATTGACTTTTAGAGAAAGAAGAAGGGAGAGGAATAGAAACATCGATAAAAAAGAAGCATCCTACTGGGGATCGAGCAGCAACTCGGGCATGTTTCCTGTCCGGGAATTGAACCAGCAACCTCTTGGTTCCTGGGTCCACACTCAGCCCCTGAGGCACACCAGCTGGGCTCCTTCTCTTTTTAAAAATATGTCATTTATGCCAAGACAGGTTTGGCTCAGTGGACAGAGTGTCGAACTGCAAACTGAAGGGTCCCGGGTTCGATTCTGGTCAGGGGCATGTACCTTGGTTTCAGGCACATCCCCGGTGGGGGGTGTGCAAGAGGCAGCTGATCAATGATTCTCTCTTATCAATGTTTCTAACTCTCTATCCCTCTCTCTTCCTCTCTGTAAAAAATTTATTTGTTGAGGAAACTAAGTCCTTTTGTCCTAAGGAATTGTTCCCATTCTAGATTTTAGTTAACAATATACTCAAAGTGTCATTTAACATATTCGACCATCTCCCATATTTCCGGTAAACTGGTAGTTAGGTCTGAAGACCTGGTTAGATTCAGGTTCAGTTTTTCTTGGCAAGAATACTTCATAGGTGGGGCTGTGTACATCATATTGCATCACATAAGGAGGGTGTCTCATTGTCCTACTTTTAGTGATGTTAAGATTAATCATTGCATTTAAGTGAGGCCAGTTTGATCTTTCATAAATTCCCCATTTATCTTTTCACCTAATAGTTTGAATAACTATTGATGATCACTGCCTTGGGATTTTACACTGTCTCCTTAACCTTTGAAATGAGGAGGAGCTCAATGAATTCAGGATGCAAAGAATTAACCTTAAAAGGAGACACCTCAACATAAGGAGGACAGACCATCTCCCCTCTCACATACATTCACTGAAGACCTATTTGATTCCACATAACCTTGTCTCAGCCTCTCATCGTAGATAGACTATGTGAATCACTAAAAGGCAGCAATAAATGCAACAACAGAGATATATGTGAAGTGCAAGGGAACCCAGAGGAAGGGGCAAATAGTTGTCTTTATAGAAGTTACAGAAAGTGGCATCTGAACTGAAATCCTGGAAGCTGGGCTAGGAACCTCCACCCTCATTCTACTCTCCTCTAGTTTGGGTCTAGTCAGACAGGTCTCTTCTAGTTCTTGGAAACTACCAAAGTTCTTTCTTGCTTCAGGGTTTCCATACTCTACCTGCATCTATTTTCCTCATACTCTTCCCTCAGGTATCTCCCACTCATCTGTTCAGTCAGTTAGGATATCATTACAGTGAACTTTCTGTCTCCCCAGTTCTCCCACATTTTTCTTAGAACATCCTTATTATTTCTTTATGCCATTGATCACAGTGTGTACTGACATTCCCATGTGCGGGACTACTTGCATTAAATCTGTTTCCTTCAGCAGAAGGTAAGCTCCGTAAGGGCAAGCTATATTTGTTCACCATGCTATACTCATTGGTTTGTGCAGTGCTTGGCACATAGTTGACACTCAAGTATTTACTGAATGAAAGAAGGAGTAGCAGTAACAGACATACTCCCCTTAGCACCTGGCTGGCTTAGTTTCTGGCATCACTTTGCCATCCCACAATGACTCAGGTAGAGTCCAATCCAGCCTGGCACCAGCATTTCAGATAATTCTCAGTGACCTGGTTCAGGGAATCAGGCATATACGTCCTTGTGAGTGTAACTAGGGACCCTCTCATGGGCTCCCTAAAGGAATGATACTTACCTTGGGGGTCTTGAGCACAAACTTGTGTTTCCCTTCATCAGGGCCCAGCTGTGCCTTCAGTTTGAGTAGTTGTGACACCTCCTCCTCGATCTGCGGAAGAACAGTAGGCGCTGGGCTATCACGTCTGCAGCTCACCTTCCCCCCTTCAACCATTCATTCAGCATCTCTCCATCAGGACCTGGAACAGATCTCTCTCCCCGGCCTACCTTTGCTTCTCTCGAGTCCTCCCCGGCTACCTCACCACCTAGTTCGTCCTCCTCCCTACCAGTTGGAACCCTTCCCCCTCACATCCCAGTCCTCTACCGACCACCCCGGCCCTAAGTCCTCCCGGGCCTTGCTTGGGCTCCTCCCCGGCCGCCCGGGTCGCACCTGCTCCGCGCTGGCCTTCTGCTGTTTCAGCTCCCGCACGTGCTCTCCCTGAAGCCGCACCAGTTCCTCCAGCGCCGCACGTTCGGCCATTGCTGGCTTCAAACTGGACAGAACTGATGCCTGGGCTGGGTGGCCGTGGGCACAGCCTCAGCTCGGATGACTTCCGGCTATCGAGTCGCAGACCTCCAGCCTAGAGAGCCTCCGCCGCGCGCAACACCACTTCCGGCTCCTACAGGAAGTGCCGAGGCTGAGAGGGAATCTGAGGGGACAGGACTCTGGCTGCGGGATTTGGGACCGCTCACCTCCTTCCTGGGAGCTCGGGCGTTGCCTCTTCGACGCTGTGCACGCTTCTTGGGGTCCGACCGGCTTCGTTCCCAGGTCTTTCGCCGGCTGTCCCGGCCTCCCGCCGCACGATGCCCCCGCTCGGGCTCCGGCGCGGCAGGGCTTGGGCAGCGCTGCTGGGCCAGCTCCTGCGGCCGCCCCGGGCCGCGTGCGCCGGGCCGGGCCGTCCTCACAGCCAGGTGAGCCGGCCCGAGGGAGCTCCGGTCCGGCGGGACAGGCTCTCCAGGTCTGAAAGCATGAACTCGCGGCCTGCGCTCCAGTAGCAATACAATTGGCTTTTTACCGAGTGCCCACCATGCACTGAGGGAAATGTTGTGGATGCGTTGTCATTTTAATCTCCGTATCCATCCTTGGGGTTGGGGTTGTTATTTCCATTTACACTTGAACAACCAGAGACTGCATGGTCACATGGTATTATATATCTTTGGCTGTAGTAAAGGAGTATTTTCATTTAGGTTCACAATTCCTTATTTGAACCTGTTGGAGTCAAACACATGAAACTTCCTTAAGCAAAATATACGATTATTTCCACGGAGGTAATTAATGACCATAAGTAGACGGTTCACATTAGGATTCACCTCAGAATGAGCCTCAAACAACAGCGCACCTAATTTTTGGTTTTCAGACATTTTTGGATTTTGGGATTTCAGAGAAGGGATTGTGGACTTGAACTGCCTCCCTTTGGAGGAGAGAGCCACCAATGTATAGAACTACCACTATATTTCTGGAAGGGCATACAGCCTGCTGGTGATAAACAAAGTCATTGATTCTGTTTTATGTTAGGGAGGACTCTGTTCTCTTTATAGCAGATGCTTTTTGCTGACATGAACAGGGCTTAGATCTTTTGTTATTGATTTTCAGTCACAGCATCATACCAGTCGGATTTTTTAGTTCAATTAGGAAATCTATTCCTGTTCATTCTAAGACATGCTCTGTGTCCTTGGACTGGCTCTTTTCTGTCTTCAAGTTTTTATCTGTCTCTAAGCTTAATGACCATTGCTACCTTATTTTTAAAAATATATATTTTATTGTTTTTAGAGAGGAAGGGAGAGGGAGAGATAGAAACATGAATGATGAGAGAGAATCATTGATCGGCTGCCTCTGCACACCCCATACTGGGGATGAGCCCACAACCAAGGCATATGCCCCGACTAGGAATTGAACCATGACCTCCTGGTTCATAGATCCATGCTGAACCGCTGAATCATGCTGGCAGGGCACCATTGCTACCTTATTAAAAATTCTTATTTTCACTCTTTGGGAACTGAGACCTGGAAGAAATATACTAACCCTACCTCTACATGGTTGTGGTGGTAATGGTGGATTGTTCTTTACCTTCATTGTTCTTGGGTACTTAAACTATTTTCAGGCAGTTTGTATGGTAAAGACCTGTCCTCATGTGTATTATATATATATATTGCAGATACAACATGGTTTTTGGAGCGGGGCTGAGATTAGAGTAGATAAATAGTGTTCAGGCTTCTTTTTACTCAGGACCAAAGCTCTTTGCAGGTTGGTGGTCCACAGGCCTCGTCACAGGGCTGGCTTATCTTGAGAGGTGCCGCGTCTCACATTCCTTTTTCTGCCAGTTTGCAGAGGCAGTGCTAACATCCCAACTGAAGCCACATCAAGAGAAGTCAAATTTTATCCTCAAGACTCCAAAGGTAACTCCCTTTGTCCCATGAAAGTGCCTTGGAGGTCTGCCCTCTGTTCTGCTTGTCTTTTCCTGACCCCTTTAAAAATCCTTTTAAGCCTAATTAAAAGAAAAAATAAATCGATTCTTGAGGTACTGGTACTTAGAGTTATCTGAACTCAAAGAGATTTCAACTCCATGCCTTAGATTGTAGGTGTAGTTTAACTCTTTGTCTTAAGTGGACTTGTTGTCACTATGGCTACTTTTGGTTTCTAGGGCACCAGAGATTTTAGTCCCCAGCAAATGGTTGTGAGGGAGAAAATACTTGATGTAATTGTTAGCTGCTTTAAACGTCATGGAGCAAAAGGGTTGGATACCCCAGCATTTGAGCTAAAGGTAAGTGGAGAAAAAAGTGCCAGAATTCCATTTTTCACTTGCCTTCAATTTCCCACAGGGCTTCTAGCCTTTGTCCTAGAATCCTCCTGTGAAGTGTGGCTCCTTCTGTTTGGCCCCTGCAGGAGATGCTCACTGAGAAGTACGGAGAGGACTCGGGGCTCATTTATGACCTGAAGGATCAGGGTGGAGAGCTACTGTCCCTGCGCTATGACCTTACTGTATCCTCCTGAGTATATTATTTTCATATACATTTTACTAATTTCCTTTCATCTCTCACACTTCCATTATAGAGAAAGGGCAAATAGCAATATTAAAACATTTCCTCTAATTAATTTCCTTTCAATGTGCATGAATTTCATGCACCAGGCCACTAGTAATAATATAAGAACTCAGCTGGTGTGACTCAGTGGTTGAGGGTTGACCTTTAAACCACGAGGTCATGGTTCAATTCCTGATCAGGGCACATGCCCAGGTTGCAGGCTTGGTCCCCAGTAGGGGACATGCAGGAAGCAGCCAGTCAGTGATTCTCTCTCATCATTGATGTTTTTATCTCTCTCCTTTTCCTTTCCTCTCTGAAATCAATAAAAATACATTTAAAAGAACATCAAAAGATGAAAAATCAAATAATAGAAGAATTAATATAAAAATAATAACACTTTCACATACTCACAACTGTAAACCTATTTTTGCTCATCCTATATACTGAATGCCAAGTACTGCTAAGTCTTGGGGATAGTGGGAAACAAGACAAGGGGATTGTTCTGTGAATGGGATTCAATTGATAAAGGCCCATCTTCCCTAATGTCTTTACACTGAGCCTAAGCTTTGGATGCAGTGTCTTTTCTCCTTAACCTACTTACGTGAGGTTCCTTTTGCGCGTTATATGGCCATGAATAAACTGAAGAAGATGAAACGCTACCATGTTGGAAAGGTGTGGCGGCGGGAGAACCCAACCATAGCCCAAGGACGCTACAGGGAGTTCTGTCAGTGTGTGAGTGACCTGCAGGAGGCAGCGTGGTTTGATAGTTCTGGGGGCCACAACCTGGGAACTGGCTGCTGAGTAGAGACTTTTTTTCCCTTCTCTTTTGCTGTAGGATTTTGACATTGCTGGTGATTTTGACCCCATGATCCCTGATGCAGAGTGTTTGAAGATCATCTGTGAAATCCTAACTGGATTGCAACTGGGGGACTTTCTCATTAAGGTGAGATTAGGGCAGGGGATTTGGGGGAAAAGTCTGGATTTGGCCTGATGCAGTCTTAAAACATAGGTGGCCTAGACTTTAAGCCTGCAGCTCTAGGACATTCTAAGTTCAGCTGTTGCATTTTATATATATACTAGAGGTCCGATGCACGAAATTCGTGCAAGAGTAGGCCTTCCTTCCCCCAGCTTCTGTCACCAGCTTCCCTCTGGCACGAGGGACCCGGGCTTCCCTCTGGCTGCTGGCAGGCACCCGGGACCCAGGCTTCCCTCGCAGCCCCAGCTTCATCCGAAAGGTCACCCAGAAGGATGTCAGGAAGGAAGCATCCAGTCTAATTAGCATATTATGACTAAATGGTCATCCTATAGAATTTACCTTTCTATCTCTATGACTCAGGAGAGTAGGGACTGTCATTGTTTTCAGAGAAAGGGTATTAACAAGGCACTTGGGTTACTTCCATTGAGTTCACAGGTCAATGACCGGCGGATTTTGGATGGGATGTTTGCCACCTGTGGTGTTCCAGAAAGCAAGTTCCGTGCCATCTGCTCCTCCATAGACAAACTGGACAAGGTAAGAAAGAACACATGTTTCAGTAGATCCTATCAGAATTTCTGCCCTGCCCTTAAATCTAGACCCTTAGAGGAAATAGTGCCTGGAAGTGAAGGAGGAAAGGGGATACTCTGAAGCAAGATTTAAGTTTTGCTGTGCAGGGGGGATTATGGCTGGATTTCCTAAGCTGCCTCTGACTTTGCTGACTTTTCTGAGTTTAGTTTTAGCTACTTGTGACATAAATACTGAAAGGAAGATATCCTTTTCTGGTTAGAGAACGAAAGATCATGGGGCGGGGCTAATGTCTGAATGTTTGTTTAGATATCTTGGAAAGATGTGAGACATGAGATGGTGGCAGAGAAAGGCCTGGCTCCTGAAGTGGCTGACCGAATTGGGGACTATGTCCAATGTCATGGTAAGAACCAGAGTTTCAAAGCTGTATAATAGAGAACCAGAGGGAGGGTGATATGTGTACAACTCCTACCTCAGAAGCAGCTCCTTTCTGTAGATGTGCTAAGCTCTAGAGCCTGTCTGAATTTTATTCCCCTTTTATTTATTGTAACCACCTTATGTCTTCAGATGGCAAAGATAGAGGCAGAGGAGGACAGTCCGGTCATATGAGATCAGTATCTTTTTTTAATGAAAATGAGGAGCCCCCAGCTGATGTGACTCATCGGTTGAGCGTTGACCCATGGACCCAGAGGTTCACCAGTCACATGTCCAGGTTGTGGGCTCAATCCCCAGTCCAGGGCAAGCAGCAGGCAGCCAATTGATATTTCTCTCTCATCGATGTTTCTCTCTCTCTCCCTCTACTATCTTCTTTCTCTCTCAAAATAAAAAACGTTTAAAAAATAAAAAGAAAATTTGGATGAAATACATTTGCGTGAAGAGCACAGACCTTATTTCTCCCCACATGTCTCCCAGGTGGGCTGTCCTTGGTAGAGCAAATGTTCCAGGATCCCAGACTATGTCAGAGCAAGCAGGCCTTAGAGGGCCTGGGGGATCTAAAGCTGCTCTTTGAATACCTGACTCTATTTGGAATTGCAGAGAAGGTAAGCTGAATTGGGTATGGACCTCCTGCTGAGCTCTGGGGTTCTCAGGGTCCTGAGTCTTGTCTAGGACTGACGCTAGCCTTGTTCCCACAGATCCGCTTTGATCTAAGCCTGGCTCGGGGCTTGGACTACTATACAGGAGTAGTCTATGAAGCGGTGCTGCTGCAGGCCCCAGCTCCTGCTGAGGAAGAGCCCCTGAATGTGGGCAGTGTGGCTGCCGGAGGGCGCTACGATGGGCTGGTGGGCATGTTTAACCCTAAAGGCCACAAGGTGCCGTGTGTGGGGCTCAGCATTGGGGTAGAGCGGATCTTCTCCATTGTGGAGCAGAGGATGAAGGTGGGTCCTAGGTAGAGGTGGAGTGGGACTGGAGGCCTAAAAACTCATGTTTCTGAAGTGCAGTTGGACAGGTTTTCTTTTTTTCTTTTTTTAAAATATATTTTTGTTGATTTTCCACAGAGAGGAAGTGAGAGGGTTAGAAATATCCATGAGAGAGAAACATCGACCAGCTGCCTCTTGCACATCCCCTACCGGGGATGTGCCCGCAACCAACGTACATGACCCTGACCGGAATCGAACCTGGGACCTTTCAGTCCACAGACCGATGCTCTACCACTGAGCCAAACCGGTTTCGTCTAGGTTTTCTTTTTAAAAAGAAAATTTGTTTTGTTAATCCTCACTGGAGGATTTTATTCCCATTGATTTTTAGAGAAAGTGAAAGGGAGGGAGGAGCAAGGTTTGGGGTAGGGGTGGGGGTGGGGGGGGTGGAGAGAAAGTCATTGACTGGTTGCCCTGGGATTAAACCTGCAACCCAGGCACATTGGGAATCGAATCCTTGACTATTCTTTGTGCAAGCCCAAACTCTAACCACCGAGCTACATCCTCTAGGGTTGGACTGTGTCTTTTTTTTTTTAACTGTGTTTTTTATGATTCTTTTTGTCCTGATTTTCGGAAATTATCTGGTGCAAAGGAAGTTTTTATTTTGGTTCTTTCTCTTTTATCAGACTTTTGGTGAGAAGATACGGACCACTGAGACCCAAGTGTTTGTGGCCACTCCACAGAAGAACTTTCTCCAAGAACGGTTGAAGCTAATTGCAGAGCTTTGGGATGCTGGGATCAAGGTATGGTGGAGCTGATTTCCAAACCATGTAGGTATATGTGGAATTCAGGCACGAGGCCCATTTCTACTTCATGCCTAATGGAACTCAGGTTCTTCCCAGCCTTCTTTGGATAGCTGGGCTAGCTACTTATTTCTCTGGAAATGCTCACTCCTGGGGTGGAGTGGTGTGGTCACTTCTAAATTCCCTACTTTACCTTCATCCTTTTCAGGCAGAGCTGCTGTATAAGAACAACCCTAAATTACTAACGCAACTGCATTACTGTGAGGACACGGGCATTCCACTGGTAGTCATTATTGGTGAGCAAGAGCTGAAGGAAGGAGTCATCAAGCTCCGTTCGGTGGCCAGCAGAGAGGAGGTGAGTGTGCAGGCAAAAGTGGAAGGGACCAGGTGTTTCTACCTTTTTAAGATTCTTTAAGAAATATGTTACTGGCTGAGGAAATATCTTCAGAGTTAATAGTGATAGAGATGAATAAAGACCCATCCTAGGCAACCATTGTAGCCCATGATACTGGCTGGGGAAGCAGTGGCTATTTTGAGACTAATAAACAAAATAGACATAGATCAGGCATTTGAATCCCTTTAGTCTTGAGGACATACATTCTGTAAGTCAGTTTAAAGCCCACACTGGTTGCATAAGTAGTGGGGGTGATACAGAGTAAACTGAATCTAGAAAGTCAATGGCTAAGGAGCTATATCACTCTCTAGTGTGTCACATGAGGGTTCTCTTATGTTCCAGGTGGCCATTAAACGGGAACATATTGTGGCTGAAATTCAGAAGCGACTATTGCAGTCTTGATGCTTTCCTGATTGTCATCTGCTGCTCTTGGTAGAAAATGTTTCATCTAGGACTGAATTCCTGATGGGCTTCACAACAGCTGGCCAGGACCGGCGACAAGTGCCTCTGCCTCCTCCATCCTTCCTGGCACAGAAATGTAGAAAGCCCTGAGGACTCCTGGGCTAACGTGAGCAGCTCTTCTGCCTGGGTGCAGATGCTGGTGTGTGAGAAAGACATGCTCTAACTGCAGAGACAGATGACAGATTTCATGTCCCATTGGAATGCTGCCCAGAGGTGCTAAGGTGGTTGCTGTGAGCAAGGCTCTGAAAAGTCACCTCCGGCTGAGAGGATTCTGAACCATTGAGGTCAGAAGTCAGATACTTAGCCTTCCACTGTGGTTTCTAAACCAGATTCTGGGAAATTTGTCCACAACCTGCTATTGTCCTGTCCAATTTTGGGGAGACAGTGATGTGGGGCAAATGGCTGCTGTGTACTTTGAGGACAGAGATGCTATCACAAGGGCATAACAATGCTAATATTGATGTGGTAGGTCATTAGCCCATATACTGTTAATAGCAGGGTAAGGCTGTTTTTGTTTTTTTTTTAAATTTTTTTACAGAGAGGAAGGGAGAGGGACAGAGAGTTAGAAACATTGATGAGAGAGAACCATCAATCAGCTGCCTCCTGCACACCCCCACTGGGGATGTGCCCGCAGCCAAGGTACATGCCCTTGACCGGAATCGAACCTGGGACCCTGCAGTCCGAGGCCAACACTCTATCCACCAAGCCAAACCGGTTTTGGCAAGGCTGTCTGTTTAATAATTTTGAATATTGAACTTTATAGGTGACCTAACAATATGGAGATTTGAAGATTTGATCTTTTGAGGTTTTGGAGACCATTTTCTGTGTCAGAATCTCTGCTGTTTCATGTCCTGCCATGGAGGTGGCTGTTCTAGAACTGTTTAGATAATATATTAAATAAAATATTTAATGTAGTAGTTTGGGTAGTTTGTTATGAAGGGATTGTTTTGCATAGGACATAGAAAATGCTTAAGAGTACACTAAAAATTCTAAATCTTTTTTTGTTATTGTAAACCCTCATGTGAGGATATTTCCATTGAATTTTAGAGAAAGTGGAAGAGAGGGGGAGAGACAGATAAAGAGAAACATGGATATAAGAGAGGGACATCAATTGGTTACCTCCCACATGTCCTCAGACCAGGGCGGGCAGGGATCAAACCCTTGACAGGAATTGAACCCAGGGCCCTTCAGTCCAAAGGCTGATGGTCTATTCACTGAGCAAAACTGGCTAGGATGCGAATTCTAAATCTAGAGCAAGGAGTAACCTTTATGCAGTGATGCTTTGTAATCAGTGAAGGGAGCAGCCATAGTTCCCCCAACCAACTTGGAGCACTCATGTCACTAAATCAATAGTGAGCCATCTGCCAGAGTTCTTCACCCTAGAGTGTTGTTGATAACTGACCTTCCTACATATAATTACTTTGATTAAATTGTGTCCATATGTTGGCTATAATCCTCAGTTGAGAGAAAGTAAGTTAACTATAGAGGGATAGCACTGCTTCAAGATAATGAGACAAAGATACAAAAAGTGCTTCCACATGTACCCTGGGAAGGTGCAGCCTTTGCCAACACTTCGGTGTTGAGGAGGGAGCAGCATATCTTTAGTCTGTTCTGGTAAATAGGTACGCTTTTGGCGGGACAGTCCCGATTTTTAACAATTTGACCCGCGTCCCACAGCGTTTTAAAAAGTCCCAGTTTTTGGAAAGAATGCATGACAAGCTAGGGAACTGCGGGAGAACGGGAAGGGAATATACGGTTTTCAACGGCCATGTATTTAGCCAGGATATGAGTTTTATATTATTTTTGTTAATTTCATGTTAAACTTCAATAACAATTGTTGAGAACTGATTATAGAGAACTGCTTATCAAAGTTCGCATTGTTGATCAGTTGTTAGAATTCACTCAAATGAGAAATATGCCAAAGAATAAAATAATACTATACATAATTTTTATTTATTATATTTGTAAATTGTACTTATGTTGAAATTTAAAAAAATATATTACAATACTATTTTTGCGTTCTATGAAAATTTTTGTTGCTCCATATAGACCAAATTTTTAATCAAGAACCCCCCCATCCCCTCCCCTCCGTCAATGGTGTCCCACTTTACCAATGTTAAAATCTGGTCACCTTATAAATAGGGCATCTGAAGCCCTTAAAGACAGCACTTCTGCCTTAGAGGTTTAGAAACTCTTGGTAATACACGCAAGTTAATTAGACTAGAGTGCACTGATCCTCAGGTTCTTCGTTTGTAAAACATGAGTTGAACTTTCAGGGTTGTTTCCAACGTCCAGAGGAAAAAAACAAAACACAACTTTGCAGGTGCCCTTACTTCCGTGTTGCTTCATACTCTCCCTGCGCATGCGTCACTTTATTGACGCGGAGGCGGGGCTTACACGTCTGTTTTAGGAGCCCTCCAGTCTTGAGCTCCTTTACAACGGCCGACGCTCAGCTTATTGGAGGACTAGTTTGCTTTACGGCTTCGAGGTCGTCTTTTACGACATTTTCCGGCTTCCCATTCACTTCGCGGTGAAGATGGCGTCCAGCAGTGGGGTAGGTGTTGTGTGTAGAAGCAGGGTTGCAGCGGGTGGAGGGTATGAGGGGGTTTCTCAGCGCGGAATATACTGCACCGGACTGGCTTCCCGACACCTCCGTGCGGTTTTGCGGCCCCGTAGGCCCTGGCGCAGAGTGGAATCGCGGCGGTCTCTCGGGTTGCGGTCCTGAGGCCACTTCAGCCTCCCGGTGCGCTCTGGGGAGCCTTCGTTCTCCACAGGTCCCGGGGCCGCCTAGCCGGCGATGACGAGGTCCGACACGATTGGCAACGAATTCTGAGGGATTTTTTTCTCCACAGACGAAAAACTTGGACTTTCGCCGCAAGTGGGACAAAGATGAATACGAGAAGCTCGCTGAGAAGAGGCTCACGGAAGAGAGAGAAAAGAAGGATGGTGGGTGCCCGCTCGCTCCATCAAGGGCTAAGGGTATCGTAGAGGCGATGCAGTGGCTTGGAGAGCCGGTGGGGAGTCGCAATGCACTGCCCTCTTACCTGTGTAAGAGCCCTGCCTTCCTGGTCCTCGCTTTTTTTTTTTTTTTTTTTTTTTTGTATAAAATGAACAAGGAGATGGACTGAAGTGATTTTGAGGTGCTTTCCAGCTCTGTTGTCCTGTGCTTCTTTGCCCTTCCTTTGCTTGGCTCATGTTAGTATGTTCCTGGAAAGAGTGACAGAGAAGTCAAGAGGAGTATTTTGCTGCTATGCATTACTATTATTGAAGACCCTCTCTTTCTGTTGAAATTACTTAAGGGGGAGAAGAACATTCCTGGCCCAATCTAAACCTTTTCCTGTACTCTGAGAAGAGTAAGGGTACGAGGCTGAGAAGGTTTGATTGTTTCTGCTAGTGCTTAGTAGTGCTGTTTTCTGGGCCTTGTATAATGTCAGGGAATCGGTGCGCCTCTCCTAGAATAGAGATTGCACTGTACAAAAAGAAATACTTGATTTTTCTCATCTACTTTCCAACCTGTATGGTCTTTTTTCACTTTACCTCCATGCCACCTTGCACTTTTTAGTTTTTATGTAACCTATATAATAATAGTGTTTGGCACATACCAGGTAATTCCTAAATGTTCCCTTTTTAAAATTTCCCCAGGTCACAGAAGATTCCATTCTGTTATTATGCTTGGGATATCTGAAAATATTATTGAGTATCTTTGCTCTTTTTTTTTTTTTTTTTAAATATATTTTATTGATTTTTTTACAGAGAGGAAGAGAGAGAGAGAGAGAGAGCTAGAAACGTCGATGAGAGGGAAACATCGACCGGGGATGTGCCCACAACCAATGTACATGCCCTTGACCGGAATCGAACCCAGGACCTTTCAGTCCGCAGACCACTGAGCCAAACCGGTTTCGGCTCCTTGCTCTTTTTTTTTTTTTTAAAGGTTGCTTTTTGTGAAAATTCAATTCAGCTAATCATTGAGTAGAAAACATTACTTTTTTACTTATTGGCTATAAAGTGAGGAAATACTGTAGTGAGTTAAGGATTGCTTATCTTTTTTCCTGTTCAAACTCTCCCTACCTACTGCTAGAAGTACCTGTTGTGCCCCTTGCTTCAAGTTTCAAAAAAGAAATGAGAGTAAACCTCTGGATTTTGAGTTTCATGTATATCTTTTCTTTTCTGGTTAAGGAACTGCAATACTGAAGGGACTTCCTTCCCTATTATATTTCAGGAAAACCAGTGCAGCCAGTCAAGCGGGAGCTCCTCCGGCATAGGGACTACAAGGTGGACCTGGAATCCAAGCTCGGGAAGACAATTGTCATTACCAAGACCACCCCACAATCTGAGATGGGAGGGTGAGTGGCTTTTCATCTTACACAGCAGTCAGGAATGGGTCTCATAGATTATGTTGATTTTAGGAAGTGTTGAGAAGGAAGGGTCAGGATAACAATCTTGTTGTCTGTAATTCCATCCTTAGATTTATTTTTCTTTGTCTCTCAAGGTCTCAGGTTAACATTATAATATCTCGTAGAGGGGTCACTCTGTAGGCTCCTTCATATTAGCATTATAACTACTTACTGTCTTAAAAGAGGTAATTTGTTCTCATACTGGAAGGAAAGTACTACTGAGGAGATTTTTAGAGGCAAAATTAGGTGCAGTTAAGGTGTGTGATGTGTCTGTGTTCATCCAGGATATAAGTGGAGCTGAAGGGTCTACTTCCAGCCTCTGCCACATGGCTGTCTTTTGGCAGCCTCAGTTCTTCATTCCAGGGGCCTCTCCATAGTCCTTCTTACAACAAAGTAAATGGTTCCCCAGAACAAGTGATCCACATGGACAGACTAAGTTCGAAGCCATGTTTAAAAAAAATTTTTTTTTTAATTTTATTGATTTATTACAGAGAGGAAGGGAGAGGGATAGAAAGTTAGAAACATCGATGGGAAAGAAACATCAGTCAGCTGCCTCCTGCACATCCCTTACTAGGGATGTGCTCGAAAACCACGTGCATGCCCCCTTGACCAGAATCAAATCTGGGACCCTTCAGTCCGCAGGCCGATGCTCTATCCACTGAGCCAAACCGGTTAGGGCTAAAAAAAAAATCTATAACAATGTTGGAAGTGAAATAGCATCATTTAAAAAAAAATTTTTTTTTTTTTCAATTCTCAACTGAGGTTTTTTTTTTTGTTGTTTTTTTTTTAGAGAGTAGAGGAGAAGAGAGTGACATGAAGGTGAGAGACACAGTGATTGGTTGCCCTTCCCACGTACCTGGACCAGGGACTAGGATCGGGGATGGAAATGAAACTGAGGTACATGCCTTGACTAAGAATCTAACCTGAGACTATCTGTCTGAGGCTGACACTTCATCCACTGAGCCAATCGGCCAGAGTTACATCACTTAAAAAAAAAAAAAAAGCCTTTATTGATTTAAGAGAGAGAAAGAGAGAAACATTGATCAGTTGTCTCCTGTATCTTGACCAGGAATGGAACCTGAAACATGGGTATGTACTCTATAACTAGTATTGAAATGGTGACCTTTCGGTGCATGGGATGACACTCAACCAGCTGGGCCACACTGGCCAGGGCAGCATCACTTTTGATATATCCTGTTGGTTACACAGACCAGCCCTGGTATAAATTGGGGGGAGGACTACACAGTTTACAAGTATTAAGAGGGTAGGGATCATTGAGGGGCCATCTTGGAAGTTACCACAATTTTCCAAGAGCTAAGGCTTTTTGGAAATGAGAAGTGCTTCCTAAAAAGACTTTTTACCTAAAAATATTAGTTTCTTGGTTGAAAACAGTACAATCCTTTACAAACAGATTTGACTCATGCTGTTTCTTCCTGTTTACTAGATATTACTGTAATGTCTGTGACTGTGTTGTGAAGGACTCCATCAACTTCCTGGATCACATTAATGGAAAGAAACGTAAGGCTAGGAGTTGGTTTGTAACTGGGGCTGGAATCAGGCTTTGGTGTCGGGGATGGGGTAAGGGTGGTTTCGGTTGGGTATTTTCTTTAATGCCTGGGGAACTCTGCATTTGCTTCAGCACAAGTTATCTGTTACTTCATTGTTTAATGTTTTGAGGCCGTGAAGTGAGACACTGTTCTAGGCTCTCCACAAGCCCGAACCACGGTTTTCTGGGTTCAGGTGTCCCCACTGACCTGGATCTGCTCAGTAAGGGAAGTTTAAAGCCATTTGCATCTCATTAATCTGGGACTGCAGCTTCTGGAATCAAGTAAAGCCAAGGGAGTTTGGTTTTTGTTTTATCTATAGCTATTTTTGCTGTGTGTTTTATGAGTAGATGTTTTAAAAATGTCAGCAGGAAGCATGTAAAATCTTGCTCCCCGGCATATGTTGTCAGATTGGCCCAAATAAACTTTACAAATTTCTCAAAGGAAAAAGTACTGTCAGGAAAAGGCTCGAAGGGCTGAGGATGTTGTTAGTACCTTACCTTCTTCGCTTTTGACCCCACCCAGATCAGCGAAATCTGGGCATGTCTATGCGTGTGGAACGTTCCACCTTGGATCAGGTGAAGAAACGTTTTGAAGTCAATAAGAAGAAGATGGAAGAGAAACAAAAGGATTATGATTTCGAGGAAAGGATGAAGGAGCTCAGAGAAGAAGTAAGGCTCTCCTGTCCTTCCATCTTCCTTCCCCTAGCTTTGAATAGTATGTTAGGAATCATGGGGAGGCTGATTTTCTCTGTCTCTCTTCAATTGATTCTAAAGAGAGAGGAAGGGGAGAAAAAGGGAGAGAGAAACATCAATTGGCTGCCTCCCGTATGCACCCTGACTGGGAATCGACCCAAAACCTGGGTATGTGTCCTGACCTGGAATTAAACCGGTGACCTTTTGGTGTATCAAGCCTGTATTCCAGGCATGTGCCCTTAACCAGAACCAAACACAGTACCCTTCAGTCCGCAGGCCAACACTCTTTTCTACTTAACCTACCCTTCTTTTTCTGGATTCACTGGGCCATATTTTTTATATTAGTTTAAATGAATGTACCTGGTCTCCAAGAGGCTAGTGGAACTAGGCTGTGTAGATCACAATTCTCTTTCCTCCACTTATTGGCTGTGAATCTTGGGCAAGTTACATAAACTGTGCTTCAATTTCCTCCAATTAGATATCTTACTATATAACATACTTAAAGCACTTAGACCAGTTCCTGGCATGTACTACATACCTCACAATGTTACTATTAAGTGGTTTTGCTTTTATAACTACTAGAGGCCTGGTGCATGAAATTCGTGCACAGGGGCAGGGAGGGTGCCCTCAGCCCAGCCTGCATCCTCTCCAGTCCGGTTCCCATCGGACATCCCTCTCACAATCTGGGACCACTGGCTGCTCATCTGCCTGATCACCCCAACTGCCCCCCCTGCCGGCCTGGTTGCCCCTCACTGCCCCCTCTGCCGGCCTAGTCGCCCCATGTAACCTGCTGTTTGGTCATTGAGTCGTCCCTCACTAAAAACCCTGCCGGCTTGGTCACCGCACACAACCCGCTATTCAGTCATTTGGATGTCCATCGCTAACCTACCTGCTGGCTTGGTCGCCTTACACAGCCTGCTGTTTGGTCGTTACTGTGAGGGCATTGTGGCCAATTTGCATATTACCCTTTTATTAGTATAGATTAACTAAAGATGAACTGGAATGTAGGATTGAGAAGTGCTCTCCACAGGCTAAAACTTCTCTTGTCCTTTATACTCTTTACTGTGTTTTTTTCCTCTGCTTTTGAAATTGTACTTGTCTTTAACTATTTTCTCCTAAAAATAGAAAGGAATCTTGAAGCTCATCTATCTCTTTCAACAATGTTTGGCTCAGGAGCCTGAACTGATACTGAGTGGTTTCCCCCTCACCCCTCCAGGAGGAAAAGGCCAAAGCCTACAAGAAAGAGAAACAGAAGGAGAAGAAAAGGAGGGCTGAGGAGGACTTGACATTTGAGGAGGATGATGAAATGGCAGCTGTGATGGGCTTCTCTGGCTTTGGTTCCACCAAGAAGAGTTACTGAGGCTTTCTGTGCTTGGCCCTTTGCTGGGCTTAACTTTGAGTGTGGGCGGGGCCGTTTTTTGGTGCAGGGGGGAGTACTTGGGAAAGTCCTTAACTGGCAATGGGGAGGACTAGAGGGCGGGTGTGTATGGTTTCCCTCGAGCTTGAGAGAAAGCACAGGAGGTGGAGGTAATGCTGTGGCATGTTCCTTTAGCCTCAGTGTATCACCCGCGTCACAGGCCCTTTGCCCATCTGTTCCCAATAAAGAAAAACCTCATCTGAGGCTGCTTTCCCAAAACTTCCCCTGCATCTTTCCCTCTGCATCTATCCAGTCTTCTCCGAGCATCCGACGTTTATCCTGTGTTCTGCCTTTGTTTTAATTTGGGCTCTTGCTTGGCCTTCCACAGAAACGTTCTCTGGGCCCCAGTTTCTAGCTGATACCGTATCCTTGACCAGCCCACTCCCCACCCCCACAGTGGTTCTCTGGCCACCTGTGCATGCATGTGTACTTTTGCCTGGGTCAGTAGTATGTGCGGGTGTGTGTGCATGAATCTGTCACACAGAGGGAGCCTGAACTAGAGCCTCGGAGCATTATTGCCTCGGGGCTCGGTAGCCTTGGTTTCCTCCTTGCATGGAATAGGAAATTAAATGGAATGAGTGTGGTGTGGATTTTGTCTGTTGAGTTTTTTTAACCTTTGTTTTTCATATGTAGATTGTTAAGCTATTCCTGTTTGTTTTATTTTATTGAGGATTACTCTGTTTTTGTCTTCCTTGTGAGCAGGCTCTTGGAAGAACCTGTTTGATGCAAAAAAGAAAACGGAAAAAAACACACACCCTCATATGGGAGCCTTTGTGTGTCAGAGGCTGTTCAACATGTAAAATAAATGGCATTGACTGGGCCTATTTCACATTTTGTGGGAACATTCCATATTTTTTCCCTGTGTATTTTTCTTCTTCCCACACTGAGGGTTTCCCATAGACGGTGTATTCTCCCTTCATTTGAGCCCTGTCGCTTTTTCCCCCTTGGTTCCTTCAGCATGAGTGGTATTTTCCTCTAATGGGTTCTCTGTCCAGAGGACTCTGAACAAAACTTTTCCTATAATTTTTAGCCTCCTTGGGTGGTGTTTTAGGAACAGCAGAGCTCCGTCTTGAACTGAGGGTTTCCTTACTACTGCAATTAGGCTAGGTGCAGGGTCACTCACTCTTGGCACTGTTGACATTATGGATTGTACAATTTGTGTGTGAGCCCTCCTGTGCATTGTAGGGTGTTGAGCAGTATCCCTAGCCTCTACTCAGTAGTTGCCAATAGCACCCCTTCCCAAAATTATAACTAAAAATGTGTGTCCCCAGGAGTGGGGGTGAAATCCTTCCTGTCAGCTCCATTGAGAAACTGTCTTCTCTGATTTGGTCTAACTTGAGTATTAGATAGTAAAGAGTGATTAACTAAAGGAAACACAATTTTGATATTCCCTGGATCAGGTATTGTGCCAAGTCCCATGAATGCAAAGGGGGGAAAATCAGTCTTTTAAAACAAAAGTTATATAAACATCAAGCAGGTAAATTCTACAACTTTAGCGGTTTCTATTTGGCTTAAGGCTGTCACCATAGGGCTTGACTAAATTCTCTGCCCCATGTAGTTTTCTGAAATCCTTAATGTATCAGAATCATCTGTGGTCCCCCCAAATACCCTGCTCTTTTCTTTGGACTTCTATCCAAAATTCCTTTGCTGTTAAGGATTTTTTTTTTGCCTATATTACTTTTGTTAATCCTCACCTCACCCAAGGATATTTTTCCATTGATGTTTGGAGAGTGGAAGAGAGGGAGAGAGACAGAAACAAATACTGGTTGTATCCTGCACATGCCCCAACCAGGGCCAGGGATTGAGCCTGTAACTGAGGTATGTGCCCTTGACCAGAAATTGAATCTGGAACCTTTCAGTCCCCAGGCCGACCAGCACTCTATCCACTGAGCCAAACCTGGCAGGACTGTTTTTTGCCTATATTATTTCTAATGCTGAATCCTGCCCCTGGGAACTGTGAATGTGTTTCAAGGCCTGGCTGAAAGTTTGACATACAGTGTTTGTTGCCCAATCGCAGGCTAATTAGTGGGTGCATTCCTTGTCATGATTATATACCATACAGATCCTTGTATAAGAATCTACCCTAGTGGACTGGGACCTTTTGCTCCCCCATTCAAGTCTGGTTAAAGAAGGTTATCAGTGAGCAGATAACCTTCCATGGTTCAGTAATCATTTTTCAGGAAACTAATTCAAGTTGGCTTCAAATCGTCTTCTTTGGTACAGTGGAATCTTCCCTCTGGCCACCTCTACTAAAAACTTCTGAATTCCAGGTTCTCTTACGTTCTCTAGGGACTGGCGGTGGTTTGAGCCTCCAAGGGGCCTGCCGAGGTCATGGGTATTTGGAGGAACTCAACGTGGTAAGCTGGAGAAGGGATGGAAATTTAGGAGCCCAGAGCAATCCCAGAGAACTCAGAAATCTCTGGAAGAGGAACTTCATTGATATTTGTTTTCTAAAACCCATGGGAACTGCATTCTGATTGAGGAATATGCCTGTGCCTGGCCTACTTGTTTTCATTTATTCAATATATGTGAGTATGTTCTAGGTTCTGGTAGTATCCTCTGGGGCAAGACATCAAAGCTCCAACTGTTGTGGAATTTACATTTTGTAAAATGTCTACTTACAGTATTGGGTGAACAAAAATTCAGTATGGCTCCAGATAATTCTGTGGCTTCAGGTATCTCACACAATCCCCTCCAGAAATTTAAATGTGAAGAAATTTAGCAATTCTACTCTAAAGTATCCTAAAAACATACTTGCTTATGTGTACATAAACATACAAGGATGTTTACTGAAGCTTTGTTTTTATAATAGTAAAGAATTTAAAATAAAACTGGTTCAGCTCAGCTGGCATGGCTCAGTGCTTTAGCATCAACCTATGAACCATGAGATGAGGGTTCCATTCCCGGTCGGGGCACATGCCAGGATCACGAGCTGGATCCCCAGTGTGAGGCATGCAGGAGGCAGCCCATCAGTGATTCTCCTAACTGATGAGATGTTTGTATCCCTTCCTCTCCCTCTGAAATCAATAAAGTATTTAAAAACATGTAAAATAAAAACTAGTACATTTATACTTGACTGGAAAGCAGCCATCACCATATAGATTAGATCTATATTTACTGACAAGAAAGATCTCCAAGACATACTGTTAAGTAAACAAGCACAGAAATTGCCCAACAAACTGATCCCCAATAAGCACCCCAATCATGAAAGTAAATCGTGTAAAATATATAGGTTGAGGGAAAGGACTGGAAGGATATACACTGAAATCCTACCTGGCTAACTGGGGAAAAGTAGGAATTGTAGAAGAGAAGGGCTAGCTACTTACACTATACATAAAAGGGGTTTCATGTGGGATTTCAAGTAATTTTAAAAACCAGTAGCCGAGTAAGTAATGCTATATTAACACCTGGGAGAGGAGCTGTAGGATTTATCTGGCTTAGCTGCAAAGTTCAAGAAAAGGCCTGAAGTACAGTTGGAAGCTTGTGAAGAAAGAGTGAATTCCTGATTAAGCTCTGTGAAAGTTGGTTTGATGACAGGATGACCCCGTGTGGTGGACTGCAGGAGTGCAGAGACTGGTGGGTCAGGTGACTGCTGCTGGCGGGAGAGGATAGACCCGGAACTGAGGGAGAGCTCACTGAGGAGTAGGGGAGACCGGAGTCATTGCTAAGTGTTCTCAGATGGGCACCGGGTAGGGTGGGTGGGTGTTGCGGGCGACAGCGGATTGGACAGTTTTTGGGTTGGAAAATGATCCTGGATCACTTTTACTTCTGTCGATTTGTTATGACGTATATCCTTCTGAGCAGTGAAAAGCATTTAATCCAAAGTGCACATCTGGGCTGGCTTTAGCTCAGCGGTTCCTTCGACTGCAAAACTTCCTTATCGCACTCGCCTGAGAGCGAAGCGGTTCGCGACCCGCGGGCGCCTTCCAGCCCTTTTGCTGCTCTCTCAGCATTCTTCATTTTCCCGGTAATCAGCTTTGCTATTTGTTTTGAGATTCTTCCCATTCGGAAAAAAATCAAAGCAACCTTGTTTCCTAACGACTTTCAGTTTCCTTTGGAGCAGGAATCAGGACACTTTGGAGAAATGCCAGTATTAGGGAGAAAATGCAGAGATGAACCCCAAAGTATCCTATAATGCTGGAAAATAAGGAAGTGCTATAAAAAAAAAAAAGAAAGAAAAAGAAAGAAAGAAAGAAAGAAAGAAAGAAAGAAAGAAAGAAAGAAAGAAAGAAAGAAAGAAAGAAAGAAAGAAAGAAAGAGAAAGCAAGCAAGAAAGAAAGAAAGAAAGAAAAGAACAACACACAAACCCAACGCCAAACAAACAAAAAGAAAATCCCCTTAAAATTAACGGTGGTGTTTAATAATGCTTGTGCTTTTGTTCCAATAGCTATTATATGCTTGTATCTTTTGAATGCCTTCAAACTCCTTTTCCTTACGGGGGCTGTATTATTTTGTCAATAATATATCTTGACTCCTTTCAATTTATTACTCATATTCAGTTATTTTATTCTTTTCCCCTTTCTCTCCTCACTTCAGTTTTTTTTCTAGTCATATTGTTTTTACAAAAATATTTTGTACTATTTTTCCATCCTTGTCATTACCTTTATTTTAGTCAGAGATCTACAACTTAATATATTTAATGCTCACCATCAAACTGCTGTCTGCATTTTCCCCATGTAATTCTTAGTTGGATGAGCCCATTCTCTAGTTAACCCTTCTGAGCACAGTGTTTTGAGTTCTTGAATATTTATGTATTTAGTCTCTTTCTCTCCCCCCTTAATATCTAATCAAGTTTCTCTTAGTAATTTTCCATCCATTAATTCTACCCTCTGCTCTTGGTTTTTGTTTTTAGCATAATTCTGGGACAGGAGTTTTACAAAATTAATTCATTAATTTTACCATCCTCCACTTCTCTCCCCTTTGGCAATCATCAGCTTGTTCTC